CTTCTCTGGAGTTACTACAGACGCTCCCACACCTTCGGATGATTTTGAACCATCAGTGTGTATCTGGGTATGATTTTTATAAATAATTAAAATCAAAGAAATAATTAAATCATGATTAGCGGAGTTTTTGTCAAATGACGTAAGTTCAAAGTTATATGATGGTATGTTTTGAATCTAAGGACAATATCAAACAGATGCAAATAATCTTTTATAGAAGGGTTTAACAGAACGGTGATTTGCATTGAGGGTTTCGGAAATTATCAATAAAAGTATTTCTATAGACAGGATTTTTTGCATTAACCTTAATTTTTGTTGAATACGTTAGACTAAGTGAGAGCGCCCACCAAACTGGCGTGGCAGTGGCAAGTAGCAAGTAGCACGCATCTAGCATGTTATTTTTAAATGGAACCAATGAAAAAAAATTATTAGAATGAATGACGTCACTATCATTTTGGTGAGCGCTGAATCATTCGTTTTCATTGGTTACATTATGCTAGATGCGTGCTACTTGCTACTTGCCACTGCCACGCCACTTTGGTGGGCGCTCTCCCTTAGGTAAGCTCTTCTATCATTTAACGACAATTCATTTGCTTCGCAAAGTAACGATTCAATCGGTGTTGTACAAAAGGCTCCCAGACATATTCTGAGTGCTGTGTTGTGAATAGTGTCAAGCTTTTTAAGTACTGATTTCGATGCTGAGTCGTAAGCTATTGCCGGGTAGTCTAGCTGAGATCGTATAATAGTTCTGTATATACTTAACAATGTACTCCTGTCTGAACTCCAATTCTTGTTTGCTAGAATTTTTAGTAAATTTAATCTTCTGTAACATTTACATGTTAGATTATTGATATGTTCTTTCCAATTCAATTTTCTGTCAAAAGTAACTCCTAGCAATTTTAGCGAATCTTTTTGTTGTAGTGATTGGTTGTATAGATATAATGAGATTGCTGTACTGACTTTGTTTTTAGAAAATACTATATATTGAGTTTTAATTGTTGAAAAGATAAATCCAGTTTCCTGTGACCAATTTTCAATATGGTTAGCGTATGAACGGCCTTTAAGTATAAGTTTTAAATTTCGTAGAACATCATTCATGGCGTCATCATTATAAATAGTGTAGGACTTCTAACAGATCCCTGAGGAATTCCATATTATAATTCCACTTTTGACGATAAGTTACTATTTACTCTAACTTGCATATACCTTTTATATAAGAAGTTTTTTATAAATGCAAGGCAGTGTCCTTTAATTTCTAAATCGTACAGTAATCTGATGATACGATCTCGCCAAGCTGTATCAAAGGCTCTTTCAATGTAGAAGAATATTCCAATACAATTTTGATTAAGGGAGAAGGCTTCATGTACACTGCTTTCTAGGTCTATAATATTGTCTAGAGTTGATCTATTTTCTCGGAAACCACTTTGTTCTGGAATAATAATATTTCGATCTTCAAGTATCCAGAGGAGATGACAGTTGACCATTTTTTCTAACAGTTTGCATGCAGTACATATTAGTGCAATTGGTATATAAGACTCAGTATCTGTTTTGGAACATTTTGGTTTTAATATTGGTATATAATAGAATCTTTCCACGCTGTTGGAAATTTCTGTTCTGTCCAAATAATATTAAATATGTTAAGTAGATGATTGTATGCATTCTCAGGTAAATGCTTAAGAAAAACCATTGGGATATTATCTGGACCCTCACTAGTCTCTTTAAATGAGTTTAATGCATCTTTGTATTCATTTATAATAAATTTCAAGTTTAAAGCATCTGTGTCATCTACAAACGGTATAATTGCATTGCATTCTTCGTTCTGTTTAAAGTTGATAAAAGTATTATTATAATTGCTTGCATTGGATCTATTTTTATACGTATTAGCAAATTCTTCTACTATTTCTAGGTCATCTGTGATTATTCTATTATCTTTCTTTAGTTGAGTGATTTTGTTATAAGCCGGTATTTTAGATTTTTTTTACATTCTTCCACATTTCAGACATAGGGGTCCTACTGGACACAAATTGAGCCCACGAATTTCTTTTTGAAGTTTTTATTGTTAACTGAGCTTTAGCTTTAAGTTTTAGAATTATGTTTTATTGTTAAATGTTTTATGTCTTTTGTATTTGTTAAAGGCTTTTTTTGGAAGCTTCGATCGATGTCTTACATTGTTCATTTCACCAAGGAACCGATTTTATGTTTTGTAACAAGTGCAGTTTTTTTAATGGTTACCTCAGCTGCATCTAAGATGATGCCGAAGAAAGTTTCGATGTCTGTGTCAATACTGTTGGAAATTTTACAATGTGTGACATGTTTTTCTATGATAATTTCAAATAATGTCCAATTTGCTTCCTTTGTTTTCTACTTAGAGGTGTGCTTTCTATTTTTGGGATTGAACAAGCTATTGGTGATTATTATTGGGTGATAATCATTGTTATAAGTGTAGTCTAATCTGTCACATGTCATTAATGCAGAGAAGTTATTATTAGCTCTGGTTAAGTCCAAGGGCGTTGATTCGCCTGTTTGTATTTTAAATCTTGTAGGTCGTCCATCATTCAACAGTGATCAGTTATACTGATCTATTAATTATTTAATAATAAGTCCTCTTTTGGCATCAAATATAGAACCCCAAATGCTATTATAAGCATTAAAATCGCTTGTTAAAATACGCAGAGAAGATATTTGTCTAGCGAGGTTAAAAAGGTCCTGTTTATCAATTAGTTGTCCTGGGGGTAAGTAAATCGTGCAAATATTTATTTTTGTGGTCCCTTCTAGAGAAATAGCTACAGCTTCTAAATATGATTATAGGGGTAACCTACTTGCGGTTAATTTATTTACAAGAATTGCTTGCTTGCTATTCTTTGATTTACTCTATTTTTTGAAAAAATTTGTAAAACTTTGTAAAGAAGATATTGCACCCTTTGAAATATTCGCTACTAAAAACAAGAAAAACCCTTTGGAGATTTTCTACTGTTTCGAGTCAAGGCTAGAAACTCGATGTAATGCAACATCAATCTTATTTTTTGTAAAATATAGAGCTAAATATCAAGCTGGAATACTTCGGTCACATTATGAGACAACCTGAAAGATATGATCTTTTACATCTGATCATTCAGGGAAAGATCTAAGGTAATCGTGGTCCTCGTAGAAGAAGAACATCATGGCTGAAAAATCTAAGGCAATGGTTTGGAAAATTAACTACATCGTTATTTAGAGCTGCTGTCAATAAAGACACGATAGCGAATATGGTAGCCAACATGATATCCAACGATCGATAACGGTCATGGAACTAGAAGAAGAAGATAGAGATTGTTCAACTATACCCTTCGAATGATATTGACAAGTCAAAAATTTTTATCCTTGGTGTGTCAAACATCTTTTAACTTTCGATTTAATTTGAGTATGTTTTTCGTCATCATCATTATCGTCCAGCTTTCTGCATCCAAAGTTCAGCTCAGGGCTTCCCACTTTTTTATAATCCTTTCATCCATTTAAATTGGGATTTTTATGTTCCAAAACCCATTTCTGTTCTTAAATCTCCATCTTATAGTTTATATTTTGAGAACGATTTTCGTGAAAATTGAAACGTGAATAAACTTATTTTAACCTACAACTGTATCTTATTCCCATTAAAATAGTTGTTGAAGACGCTCTGAAAGCGAAAATACTTGTGCAATATTTAACAAAAGAACTGTACTCGATATTTGCCTTTAATTTGTAAAATTCATGCATTCTAGAATTCAATCATATCCTATTTTAAAAAAGTAAAGATTCTTTGTAATCGTTTTGATTATTTTACAAAGTTTCACATCCACCGTGGTCAAAATTACTTTCGAAATCATCCATCGAAATATGAAATCTAAGCTATGTATTATTAACTATTATCTGCAAAGATAAAGTCTGTCGGAAAAGCTGTAGAGTAAAAGGGGAAGCGTTTAAAAATCGCAATGTGCAATAATCTGGGATAGAACACGTGTCAGGCACACGTCTCACGCATTTGAGTACATTGTTGATCTCTCAACCAAAAAACTGATTACGATATTAAAGTTGGAGATTAAAAAGATATTTTAATATATAGCTCAAATTATATCCTGTTGAATGCATCTAAAGAATGGTCAAATTTAATGAAAAAAAAATTATTACATTAATAAAGGTATAATATATATATATATATATATATATATATATATATATATATATATATATATATATATATTAATTAAGAAAATAGTAACCAATGTGTAGCACGACAACAGAGTCTAGGTCATTGGGTGCCAATTGTTTAAGGATAAAATATCAAGCTCAGTCACGTAAGATAATTCCCCTTGCGGCTCTTTCTTTACACTAAACTCGGCTTCCTTCTTAATTTTACCCATTTTTATTAAAAATATAATTGTGAACACGTTGTTTAATATTATTTTGTGTGGTATAGGTTACATTTTAAATAAAAACGTGTTAAATTAAAGAAGAAGCCGATGTTAGTGTAAATGAAGAGCAAAAGAGAATGAAAAGATAGCAAAGTGCAATGGTATTTTAAAACCGATGGCAATCTAACTGCCGTTTTATAGGTACATGATTGAGGTGACGTTTTATTGTTAAACAATAGCGTCCAATGATCTAGGTAGTAGCTTTAGTGATAAATATTGGTTATTTAGTTACACATTGGCGCCCAACGTGGGGCTTTCAACGTGACGCTTAAAAAACATCTTTAACAAGATACAGTGTTATGGAAGACCCTATGTATTTGTTACTAATATTAAAATGTGAAGCTTATAGCTACCTTTTATTTTTGTACTTTTTTGGTAGCTCCTAAAATAATAGATATGGCGGACTTTGTCACATATACTTGTATATGTCTGTCTTGGATTCTAGGTTAAATTCATGTACTACTTTTATTGAATTTAAATTTGTTTATTCTATAGACATATGCTGACAGGAGTCTTAATTTATTATTACTAAAACATTACCATTTTATAGATGTCTAATATTATCATCTTTTACAGGTATCATCAATCAACAGGGTATTACGTAATTTAGCCGCACAAAAAGAACAAAACTCAACGCCTCCCGTTTCTAGTGGTAATGATAACGTCTACGACAAACTCAGGTTATTAAATGGAAATCAGACAAGTTGGCGATCTCCATCCTCGTGGTATTCTAGTGCAAATACAGCTTTTCATTTACAACCTCTCAGTCCGCAACCTTCCATTTTATCCGACGACATTGTTTCCAAGAAAGGTGAGTAAATTATAAATCAATATGTATTTTTTGATATTACCTTATTATTGTCTTGAATTTTAATGAAGAGAAAACTGTTCAATATTACATTATTTCACATTAATTTTTTAGTGTTACGCTCAAATATGAGTAGAGTGAATTATATCTACTCAAACAGCAGTACAAGAACAATTCAAGTTATTGAAAGAAAAATGTTTTAAGCTCAATATCTACAACATATCACAATCGTCGGCTCCAGGATATTTTACCTTATATCAAACTGTGAAAAAACATATATATCACGATGGATGGCTACTTCATCTAAGACTTATATTACATTATAAAAATACGTATATTACAATGGATGGCTACAAAGTCTTTTATAGGAACTAATAATGAAAAATATCAAAACTACACAAAAAAGTAAAGGACAACTTTAGATCAATTTAATAAAGGGCAACAAATTTAGGACAAACGGAAAATCATTAAACAAAAAGTATAATTGCTAAACAAATTATAACAAAGATTTGTGTTACTATAGAAAGGTCCCCACGTTGGGCGCCAAATTTGTGTGTCGTACATAGTGAACTAGATTACTAAGAAGTAAACTTAGAACACTCTGTACTCGAACACCGTTACTTAGTCCTGATAGATTATGAAAACAGTTGTTCATAGAGGTAAGAAACAGAGCAAGAAATATAAAAGAATGGAGAAAACTTGTACAAAGATTAGCTGGAGCATAATCAAGACAGACGTTGCACCAACCTAGCCAGTCAGCCATATTACATCACTAGTCTAGAAACGCAGTAGCACATAATACTCTAATAATAGGAAGAATGGTATTATAGCGAAAAAAATAAGAGATTAAATATATTATAAATAAAACAAAGTTTATTGTGCAAACGATTTATTATAGAATAGAACAGAAATAGGCTTTATTGTCACTGAAAATTGTACAATTTTAGGGACAAAGCTTACATACAGGATATACAATCCATTGCAAAATTTAACTAAATTGCAAATTGCATACTAATACCATACGAGCTAGTTTACGAATAAGTTTAACTTGCTGCATGTGATACCCAAATATATATATATATAAAAATACTTTAGTTCTTTGTAGCTAAACGTATTGTAATTTCTTAGTTATTCGTTAAGAAACTATTCCACTGATAGACAGGCTTTTGTCAATATATAGAACTTAAGGCAAGAAGTTGTAGAATTAAGTTGCAAATTGAGATGGTTGTATAATTTTTTTGCCGAATATAATATATTTTTCTTTACTAACTCAGTGGACGGGATCAGTAAAAACACATCAAAGCTTGAATTTCTGGTGGAGGAGTCATGATTAGGTCTTTCTAGAATATATAAAGAGGGAAGAGTTAAAATACCGTGATTTTTTAAGTAGCTTCTGCAATGTATTATTCTACTGAGACTAAAAAGATACTGTATTGCTCTTTTTTGTAATTTAAAAATACATCAGATTGGGCAGCTGTAGTAGAACCCCAAAAAGGAAGGCCATATCGAAGATGAGACTCGAACAAAGAAAAATATGTTATTTTGAAAAATACTAAATTGATTTCCTTCGAAACAGATCTTATTACATAGCAGGATGAGGCTAATTTCTTACTTAACAAATCGATATGAAGGGGCCATTTAAGGTTGTTGTCTATAAAAATACCAAGAAATTTTACAGAATCAAAGATACTGATCTGGCTGTTATTAAGAAGCAATGGTTGAAGAGCTCCTTTATAGAATAATGCTACTATCATATCCACAATAAATGAGAGTAAATTAGAATCGGACCAGGTTTTTATTTTAAGTAGATCAGACCATTTTGATAAAGTTTTAACATGTGGTGAACAATTTAAAAACCGTTTCCTTAGGTATTGATATGCAACGGCAAGATAAAAATTAAAGTAAGAGCAAACTTTCTAATTTCAGGAGAATATTCCCTAGCTACTGTTTGTTTTGTAGTTTTAGTAAACAAACGATTAATTAATTGTTCATTTGGTCCAAATTTTTCAATAATTGTTTGGACTTGGTCTTCATTAACTATTTGTTTTTTTTTGCTAGCCCTTTTACGATACTACTCAACTTAAAAATTCTTTTCCGCTGAGCCCAAACATTTTTTTTGCAATCTCCGCACTTGTTTAGTTTTAAATATATTCTTAGCAGAAAGTATTTGGATTTGCTTTCCAAATTTCTTCTTTCTTGGAGGTTCTAAAAAAGTAATAGATTTAGACACTTTCATGTGACAGTTGGGACAAACAATAACATAACCCAACTTGATTTAATTTTTTAAACATAACCCCCTCTGTGGCTCAGTAGTAAGAGCGCCTACCTTTAAACCTAAAGGTCGTGAGTTCGAATCTCATCTGGGCGGAGAAATTTTCGTTTATTAAAAATTAATGAATGAAAATAATTTCTATCCTTGTGCGATCGGTACTCACCGAGGGACCGCAGACGTTCGGATACAATTAGCGTCTCTTAGCAAAGACAATGACGTCGACTTTGCTAAGTATCAAGACAATTACTCTACACACATACACACACTACACTAGGTACCTGACTGTACCATGCCAATGATCTTAGTTGTCGAGGCATTACCTCAATAATAAATAAATAAAATTTTTAAACAAGGCAAGACACTCTATTTCCTTGTTTAATGTGGCCTCTCAAAATGGCTACCCTTACTACCTTCCCGCAAGTTATCGGAGAGGCCTAAAAATCAACATTTCAAAGACAAAGTGGATGGCAGTTGGAAAGATCCATATAGATCAAGGTCTGCTTTCTCTTAATGGAGAAGAGATAGAAAGGGTAAATCATTTCAAATACCTTGGCAGCTGGTTAAATGTAAATTGTGACTCTGATGAAGAGATAATATCCAGGATCGAAATATCACGTAAGGCTTTTATGACCTGGAAACCAGTTTTATGCAACAGAAACCTGTAAATGAACATTCGTAAGAAGGTCCTGAAATGTTATGTGTGGTCAATCCTATTGTATGATTGTGAGACATGGACGTTAAAAACCACAATGCTAAACAAGTTAGAAGCATTCGAATTGTGGTGCTATAGACGAATCCTAAAGATATCGTGGGTTTCGCACACTTCCAATGAAGATGTTCTTCAAATGATCAACTCAGAACGTCTGCTCATAAACATCATAAAGAGGAGAAAAACAGAATACTTCGGCCATATAATTAGAGGACCCAAATACCATTTACTTCGCCTTATAATACAAGGAAAAGTGGAAGGAAAGAGATGGATTGGTCGAAAGAAACTTTCATGGGTGCGTAATATTAGACAATGGTGTGGTTTCACAGTAGAAGAATTATTTCGCGCAGCAGCCGACAGAGAAAGGTTTCAGGAAATTGTAAACATGATGACGGCCAACGTCTAAATACGGACACGGCACCCAAAGAAGAAGAACTATCTTCCCTCTTCTGTATTCTTGCTCGATGGTCCGACTAAAGAAAATTCAACTTCCTTCTGGACATATAATTACTTTTTTAATAATTTAACCGATAAATCAGTTACTTTCCGAGTATTTTGTTAGTAAAACCGATTGATCTGACTTATTCTTCCAAATCTCACCTTTACATCTCATCCCTACATCCCTAGTAATATCTTAAAACTCCATGTAAAACACAGCAATTTTAAAACATTCAAGTGATAATTTGCGTACGTTTCATTTAACTGTTTTGCATAATTATGCAGTCAGTGCACGAGGGGCTGTTTGAATGTAAATCATGGCAAGGAAAAAAGAAACAAATTTGTATTGAAATCAAAGATCAAACAAAATAGGAAAATTGGCAAAACATATTCATTACACGGAGCCGATTGTTAGACTAGAACAGAGAACTTGCGGGACGAAGGGTAGGAAGAGGAATGCGTTTGTAAATTACCGCTGTTTACAGTGATCTTCACCCCATTTTATATTACGAACTGCGTAGAGCAGTTTGGCCAGAGGGCACGTCTTTGTTACACAGTATCAAATCTCCTGCAAGTGACACATTTGTTAAAAATTTGAAACGCTGGAAAGAGCCAAAGGCACAAACTAAACTAAAATTGAAAATGGAAACTTTGCGTTCTGTCGGTCGGTACACGGCGGCTTTTTACCGTTTAATTTGTGCAATTCAAATCTGACACGCGGCCACAAAACGGTTTTAATGAAATCAAAACGCATTAATTAAAATTTCATTCAATTTGGTCAGTTAAACGGAGTTATGCTTTGTGCGAATACCATATTCTGGATGATTATCTATTGTTCTGAAACAATTTCCACTGATTTTTAATTTTCTATTTAATTTTTACTTTGTGCGTGGCTATGGCGCGGTATCGAACAATGCCTGATGCACGTTATGCATAGCAACAGATTTTTGCAAATGCTCTGTTTTGATAACGATACCTTTGAGGTTAATGATTTGGGAACAAAACTGATTAAACGTTAATTATATATTTGAAATACCTATATTTTTTCAGTTTATTTCCATTCATTATTATAAATAAATACGAAAATAGCAAATCAACATATTTTTAATTTACTGATAATTTACTTGACTAAAAAGGTATAAAAAATATTAATTGAAAAATAGATTTGAGTAGGGGAGTAGAAGAAACCGGGGGAATTCTGCGCACCTAAGGGAAAATACTTATAAAAAGTTTCCTATGTGCAAACAAACTTCCATAATTTAACTACTGAAAATTGTATCTATTTGGAACGATATTCCCATAAAAAATAGGATTAAAGTTAACAGATTTTGAAGAAAAAAAATTACTTTAAAAAACTGTCATTGCGCGGTATTCCCACAATTAAGGGGTAATTCTGCGCAGAATTAAATAAATCTTTATTATAAAAAAAATCTTGTAATAAAGCAAATATTGTGAACAGAACATATTTCTGTCTTTCGTTCGACCTTGACACACATATCACATGTATAATTAACTGCTGAGTCCCAACCACTACATTCTGAATGAATCCAAATCGAACACATTACACAACGGTACCAAATTTTTTTGACTTGTCCGAATTCACCGCACACCAAACACTCCTCATTTTCTAATGTTAGATCTACATCATGTAATTCATCATCATCATAAACCTTATTCTCATCATAACATTCAGACTCAGAATCATCAAAATGTAAGTTTTTAACTCCAGCTTTCTTGCGTACAGGTCGTTTCTTTGCTTTAGTAGCCAGTTTTCCTATGGTTTCTGTTGTTTTTTTCTTGGATTCATTTTTTTGCCTCTTTTGGCTTTTTTCTTAATGTTTCTCTTTTCTTGTGTTATTTCTCTTTTCTTGTGTTATTTCTGCAAAATACTGCAAAATTCCTCAAATTTAATATCTGCTCTTTGGCCGGCCAATGCCGCTGTCGATTTACCCTTTTGAATTCTGTCTTCGACTCTCTTAGGACCATTATCGCATTGTTTTTAATTAAATTTGTATTTTTATATAACCGATAATTAAAATTATTTTGTGTTTTAATAAATTCTCACCGCTAAATATTTAAATAAACAATAATCGAACTGTCAAAATATTTTATTGAGAGAATTATCAATAATTTCAGCTCCGAATAAAAAGTGTATTTTGTTGGTTTACGCCAACTATTAAAAACATGTTTTTGTTACTAAGAGTGAAATTAAAGTGATTTTCTAACAAGAAGGAATAAAAATTTTAAGTACAGTTTTTATTCAATCCATATAAACCGTTTGAAACCAATCGCATTGACATAAACAAAGGATCCATTTTTATTAAAAAATCTGATAAGTCAAATAAATTGTCAAAAATTAGTAGCGGCTCTTACTCTAAAACTTGTCAATGAAGTAAATAAAAATTAAAAATGGATAGCGAATTAGAAACTAATACAGTAGTCACCAAACAATTATGAACATCTTCAACATTAACCTAATGAATTGGTTAGTGAACAATGTGGTAGTGTCTGGGGGCTCGGGGGACTGAGACCTGGGAAGCCCTGAAGAAGACATCAAAGAGGATGTAGAAAGCTCGGTGCAATGATAATGATGCGGTTCAACCCGACGACTGTTAAGTTTAATATTAATTCTTGTAATAGTAGTAATCTTAGCTCACAGAAAGCGTTGTGGATAAATTATAATGACCCACAATGCGAAACTACGAAGGCCGTCAGAAACACAAGTCGGATTTCGCTCATGTGGCCAATATAAACACCTACCAACAAAGGGAAATCTAGAAATCGCATATCGAATCTTACCAGACGTGTTTTATTCAGTATAGTTTCCGATTATTTCTAGTCCAATGGGTAAATCAATCGAAAACCTTAAAAAGGAATTCGAGGATAGTTTGCATAAACTTTACGTGGAGTCAAGTATTATCTAGGTCTTCGCTACTTTTAGAAGGCGACTATAAAAAAACTAATTTATGCAGTTAAAAAGCACAAGAATTGCGAATATTCGGCAAAGGACTAGTATCTACACATTATCGAAGACTCAATCGATATGCTCTCTCTCTCTCTCTCTCTCTCTCTCTCTCTCTCTCTCTCTCTCTCTCTCATCTCTCTCTCTCTCTTCTCTCTCTCTCTCTCTCTCTCTCTCTCTCTCTCTCTCTCTCTCTCTCTCTCTCTCTCTCTCTCTCTCTCCTCTCTCTCTCTCTCTCTCTCCTCTCTCTCTCTCTCTCTCTCTCTCTCTCTCTCTCTCTCTCTCTCTCTCTCTCTCTCTCTCTCTCTCTCTCTCTCTCTCTCTCTCTCTCTCTCTCTCTCTCTCTCTCTCTCTCTCTCTCTCTCTCTCTCTCTCTCTCTCTCTCTCTCTCTCTCTCCTCTCTCTCTCTCTCTCTCTCTCTCTCTCTCTCTCTCTCTCTCTCTCTCTCTCTCTCTCTCTCTCTCTCTCTCTCTCTCTCTCTCTCTCTCTCTCTCTCTCTCTCTCTCTCTCTCTCTCTCTCTCTCTCTCTCTCTCTCTCTCTCTCTCTCTCTCTCTCTCTCTCTCTCTCTCTCTCTCTCTCTCTCTCTCTCTCTCTCTCTCTCTCTCTCTTGAAAAAAATTTCAAAGACACACTTGTCAGACAGGTTGTCAAGCCTATAATTTCTAAATGTATGAACTGTAGATGTCAAGTAATTATAAAGAGCTTATAAATTTTAGATATGACAAATAATATTAATCATATTGTAGGTTGACCTGATAGATATGCAAACAGAGCTCGATGGTTCATATAATTTTATTTTAAACTACCAGGATCATTTGACTAAATTTTTGTTTTTAAGACCATTCAAAATCAAAACAGCACTTGAAGTGGCTGACGACTTGGTTGATATTTTTTGTCTAGTAGGTGCTCCATATATCTTGCAAAGTAATAACGGTCGAGAGTTTGCAAAATTCGGTTATTGTAGAATTAACTACTACTATGTAGCCTGTTCTGAAAATATTTCATGGCCGACCAAGGCACTCACAAAGTCAAGGCTCTGTGGAGAGGGCTAATCAAGATGTCCGGGATATATTGATTATCTGTCCAAGAAAAACAAATCTTTTCATAGAGAAAATGATAGGAGCTCTACTTGGCAGTAGACAAACAAATGGTTTAGAAGATACAGATCTTCCTTAGAGAGAACTTGGATAAACTACAAAATGAAAAAGAGTTGGAAAAATTATTAAATAGCATGGAAAACGAACATGATGATGATTATATTGATTATTTAAAAATGGATAAGAAAGCAATAGTGTAGAACCCTGCCAAAAGAATTTAGAAAATCAAGACAAATTTTTGAATAAATCTTTAGAAATCCTGGACAATAATAACCTGATTAAAAATAATGAAGATGCACCCAATATACAAGAAGGCAAAGTTGACGGCAATTTCAATGATCAGTTAACCCAAAGAGGCACACAGGCTTCAACCTCTTGACCTAACTTTTTTTGGGCTCCTAAAGAATGCTTTCAATTGTGATTGCGACTTCTGTATCTGAGAGCTCATACTCATTAAAAGAGTTGCCACAATGGACAAAGGAATATCCGGAATCCGTGCTGCTGGAATATGGCCCATAGATCCTAATGAATTCTCTGAAGATGATTTCAGCTTAGTAGATCACACTGAAGTTTCAGGTATGCACGTTGTAATGGACTTAGAAACCGACGTTACCAATGATGACAGGGCCCTTGATCAGTCAAGATGTGACGAAACTCTGCAGAGAACTCCACCGAGAACATCAGGAAATATTAAAACTCAGTCTAGTATACCCATTGAAAAGCTAGCTCCTCTTCCTTCCAAATTTATAAACAAAAAATTCCAAATCACGTGCAAAACAACACTAAAAGAAAGAAATTTTCATTTCTACGCCACTAAAAACGCCACTAAAATCACTTTAATTTCACTCTTAGTAACAAAAACATGTTTTTAATAGTTGGCGTAAACCAACAAAATACACTTTTTATTCGGAGCTGAAATTATTGATAATTCTCTCAATAAAATATTTTGACAATTCGATTATTGTTTATTTAAATATTTAGCGGTGAGAATTTATTAAAACACAAAATAATTTTAATTATCGGTTATATAAAAATACAAATTTAATTAAAAACAATGCGATAATGGTCCTAAGAGAGTCGAAGACAGAATTCAAAAGGGTAAATCGACAGCGGCATTGGCCGACCAAAGAGCAGATATTAAATTTGAGGAATTTTGCAGTATTCTAACTCGTAAATTGGATATAAAGGATTAGGGTAATTCCCTTTTAAATGAATACATTCTTGAAATCATTATCCGTTTTCAGACCTTCTGACGTGCTTGTAATAGTTAACATGGGGGTAAATGTTGGAATATCGCGTTTCAGACTACTTAACGAAAAACCGCAAAAGTTTGAGGTTAACTTGGGCTTCGCTGTTAATACATTCGCTATTTAATTTTATTAGCCGTCTTGACCAACGAATTGTGATTCACAAACATTGCCGAAAATGAATTGCCTATATGATTTTTATGATTATATGTTGTTGGGAATTTGTCTTTATTGTACAGCCACCAATTGACGGATTTGTAGTAAATGAGATAAGACAAAATTTTATATACCGAAACTTGGAGAACTAGTCAATAAGATTAGGACCAATTGTCAAAATTGCAAAGTCATTTTTTTTATTTACAACCTCGCATCAGCATGTAAGGTTATTAGCGAAAAAAGAAAAAGTATTAACAATAATTGAATAGCGTAACAATTAAATTTTGGATAAATAGTGTATTGCTTTTTGATATTGGATAATCACTTTGGATGAACGAGAGAGTAATTAGCATAATTTTAACTGGTACCTCCGACCACTCAATGGGCGTGCTCAAGATTAATTGAAAAATTACTTTGAATAATTGTAAAAAATAAATGAATTATTTCAGTGTTATAAAGTGTTATGTGTATGTAAACAAAAGTGACCTCTTTTATCATACACTATATTAGAACTGACTGGCCTACATTAAAAAGGGTTTTAAAAAATTCACATTTTTTTAATTTTTAAAAATTACAAAAGAGAAAAAGAGTTTTTAAAACCGTCTAAGGTATGTTAAATAGATGAATAAAAATATTAATATAACACTTACAGCTACTTGTTACAAATCCAAATCAGATTCGGAAGATGAACTTTCAGAACCAAGATTTATAATAACTGGCTCGATCATTTTATCAGTAATATTGTCCAGCTTCCACATTTTTTCCACTTCTTGAATAGTGTGATTTACTGCCTTTTCTCAGTTTTCAGGTTTTACATTATTTACGGCCTCCAAAAACAACTGTTTAACATCATGAATTTTAAAAGTATTTTTTCTTGAAACTTCACTGTTTATCTGTGCCCATACCAGTTCAATCGGGTTTAATTCACAATGATATGGTGGGGATCTAAGTACTGTCATTTCACGATTTTTGGCAATTTCATCAATTTCGTATTTTTAAAATTTTTCTTTATGAAGGGCACACAACGAATAAAGTTCCTTTCTTATAGATCCGGGATGGTACGTAATATTTTTTGAACTCAGCCAATTCTGCAAGTCTTTTTTTAACCACTTGGTTGTGGGCAGTCCTTCTATAAGTCTGGAGTGATAACTTGCATTATCCATTACTATTACACAGTTCTTAGGAAGAAGACCTATCATTTGTTCGAACCATTCTTGAAAGACATCAGCGTTCATGTCTTCATGGTAGTCACCGGTACGAGTTGATTCAAAAGTTAATAAACCACCTTCAACAAAACCGTCTGAACTGCCAATGTGTACTATTATCAGCCTGCGTCCCTTTCCTGATGGTGGGTTTAAACCAGTAGATAAGTTATTTACAAAAGCGTGCCTTTGACTTGTAACAGTTTCATCCTGCCAAAATTTATTTGGTGTATGACCCTCGTTGATCCATGTTTCATCAAGATAAAATATTTTTTTTTTTGGTTTCTCATTTCCTTTATGGTTCTTAGAAAATGTCTTCTCCATATGACAATATCGCTTCTTTCTAATAAAATAGACTTTCTGGGATTCTTTTTCCAGCGGAAGCCTATTTCTTTTAAAAGTTTCCATAACGTACTTCGACTCATTTCTGGGTAATCCTTATCATCTCGAACTGAGACAAGAACTTTATCCAATGTTGGAAATTCTTGTCTAAAGAAGAATTCATGCACTTTCCGTCGAAGTCCTTCTTTAAAATAATATTCTATTTGAAATTTTGGTTACCCTGGAGCATTACGTGGCATTTGAAAACTACCACATTTCTCTTCTTTAATAACTCTGTAAATCGTAGATTTCTCAACACCAAGTGTACTGCTAACTTAACGGTCTCATCAACACTTTCACATAAACGTTTGTCTGTAAATGATTATTATGTAAATGACAATTAAATATTAATGTTTTTTCATTAACTGTTAAAGGACCAATTTTTCGACGTTTACACGGCACTTCCAAATTTTCCATAACACTAGTATACACAATAAACTGCACCTTGCAACTGAAGGACCTACTTTTAGTGAACTGTTAAGAATTTTGAATACGCCACTTGGACCTTCCTACAAAATGGAAAAACCCACTATCACATTTTCTGTGGAATAAGTTTAGAAGGTAATTATCTAATCAATTACTGTCGTAGATTCCTGGAATTAAAGACTTAAATGTTTGATTGTTGAAACCCTTACTTCGTGGAATGCACTCATTTCAGATAAAATAAAACGTTTTATTTTATCTAAACTTTATTTTGCAAATAGGTAGGTACTTATTAAACTTTTATTGGTTATATATAACCAATAAAATAAACATCTTACATTTCTTGCAAATTCATTAGTACCTGTTAACCTCCATCACTCCGACACTGGCAACATTATTTAGGGATTAGTAACCCTACAACTATTGTATTCTATTCTGCTCCAACCTTTATACCTGGTGGTCATACTCAATTTAAAATTCTTTTCCTATATACTTCTGTAAACTTGTTGACAAATATCTGTTTTTCATTGAGTCACCCGTATCAACAGTTTAGGGATTTGCATACATAATTTATTGTTTTATTACTCTCTCATACATAAAAATACACTATAGGTTGTGCAATTCTTGTCTAATGAGTTTGGCCACAGGATGGGAAGAATAGATTTTTGAGATGATTTTAGTGAGTCAGTAATTATTAAGAAGTTAGTTTCAAGACATTTTGTAACATGACATGCCTTTATATATTGCAAAGAGTTCTCTTGTTAAAATAGTATTAATCTCCGCTAGTTTATATTTTTTTATTTCATCCTTTGTTACAAAGGCAGATGCTACACAACGCTCTGTTTTAGATTCATCTGTGAATAACTGTTTGAATAAAGAAAATTGAGAAATTAAGATTTAATATTTAGAATTTATTAGATGACGATTGCTTTCTTTCTTATTTTCTGATAATAGATCCAAATTTATGTGAGGAGAAGATATTAGCAAAGGAGGGGAAGTGGCATCTTGCTAGTATAGATTTCGGGGATTTTAAGGTTTAATTCATTTATTATTCGTCTGCATCTTTTGTAAAATAGAGTGTGGGTTTTTACGTGCTGGATATTCGAGCAGCGAATGGTTTGGTGATATTGTAACGAGTACCGCTTTGATGCATATGAGAGCATTAATTTCTGTCTTCTGAAATCTAATGGTAGTTCACCGATTTCAGCCTGAAGACTTAAAATAGGGGTTGTTCTAATTGCACCGCTTATTATTCTGAGAGCGTTATTTTGAATGGTGTCTACAACTTTTAGAGTTGTTGTTGAAGCAGACGAGTAAGCGTGGCATTCATAATCGATGTTGGGGCGGATCAGATTTTTATATAATATGAGTAGAGTTCAACCGTCCCCTCCCCAGTATCAGAAAGACATTTCAAGAGGTTTATCCATCGGAAGTGGACTAAGAATATCCATTGCAAGTCGTTCAAAGGGCTCTCCGGAAAGGTTTTGTGCCATTTTATCACAACTTTTTGTTCTGGGATCTTTTCTACCGTTATATAAATCACATTTCTTACACCAATCTCGGCAGCAATCGATCCAGTAAAATCTGTCTTAAACTCGGGCCAGTGTTCTTTTGACACTAAGATATCCTCCGAAAGGCTGCTATGAAGGTCTTGTAATACACTTTTGAATGTGTGATTTTCGCAGTAGAACTTGTTAAACTATACGTACTTCATCAGAACCGTCCCATTCCCCATATAAGAGACTATTTGAAAGATACAGATATTCCCATTGACCGCAGTACGACTTTATAATTCCACTCTTTTTAAGGTTTTCTAGGGAAGTATGATCATTATCTTCTTCCTGTTTAACAGTGTCCTCTGGAGACAGACTTTTTCGGTTACATTCTCTTTTTCTTCAAGCAAACACTGACTTTAAACCTGCAATTCGTTAAAAGATCTTGGATTTCTTTTAGTTGTTCACTCTGCAAAATTGACACCTGTTCTCTCAACTTTTCTATTCATTTAAATAACGGTATCTGTACCAAATTGTTACCAGTATTTGAAGGCCCATATAGGGTACAAAATGAAAATGGAATCAACAGTTATGTTTTAGATCACTTAGAGACTGGAAACGTCAGAGGAATATTCAATATAAGTAATATATAGAAGTATCATTAATAAATCAAACCTACATTCAATTTTTCTATTTAATTGCCTAGATACATAGACCAAGTTACATTAGCGGGCAAAATGAAATTAATAAATAATAGAGTTTGATTTTTTATAAAATTATTTCTTGTTTATAGATAAAAAGAAATATTTATATATAAAAATCAAAGACGGGAAACTTAATATGATCCAAAATTGTATATAGAGGAAAATGTATAGATAAAAAGAAGAAGAAGACAAACAATTTGTAAAATTATGTTATAGTTATATTCTAATATATACGGTTTTAATTTTTTAGTATTGGTGAAGTGCTAAAATAGAGACTTTATCAATTTTACGTTTATGTTGGAACTGGGACTTTCTAACTTATGGAAATCGATAGATTTAAGAATAGTTTTGTAAATAATAGGTTGCATTGAAATATGATATCTATGAGAATAGTTTTGTAAATAATAGGTTGCATTGAAATGAATGCAAAGAAAGAATGTTTTGATTGGTTACAAGAAATTATGCAAGAGATAGACAGACGGGAATGAGATTGAAAAAGCAAGGAGGATCATCTGCTGTTGGACTTGAAGCGAGTGAAGACAAAATCTAAAGGAGTGTGCCGATAGTTTGATTTTTTAAACAGGTGAAAGAAAAATTGTAGCGAAAAGTAGTGCGAAGAAAGTGGTGAAAGTAGTTGTAGTACTTGTAAGTAAAATAATTTACTATTCTTGACGCTAAGCATAACTAAGGAGAATTTTGGCCCTCCAATAGAAACAATTAACATTGTTAGGAGTTTGTCGAGTTTCATTTTTATAATCAGAACCGAGA